ATAGTAATTAGTTATTTTATAGGTCTAGTTAAGTAATTATAGGTCTTTAAAGGTCTTAGTAATTAGTTAAGGCCTTAATAAGAGTTATAGAGTAATTATTACTTAGGTATAGCTAAAAGTATTATAAATAATAATTATAAGGTTAATTGCTAAAGAGCTATAGAAGTTTGTCCTTAAGTAGACTTAAGTCTATCCTATATATAGGTCCTGGGTAGTCCTATTGCTGGGTGCTGTATATGCCCTGTATGGCTCCTGTATCCTTGGCATACGGCTTCTGTCTTTCTGGAATATAGATGCTATATCTTGATTATATGGATCTAATCTCTTATTTTATTGTTATGTAACCTATACTATAGTTCTTCCGTTCCTAAGGGATCCTTATGTGTTCTTATGATCCTATATATAAGTGTGTTATTATAACCGCCTAGTATCCTAGTGGGGCGTCCTTTGTTGGTTATGCCTAATGGGTTGTAATATTTAGCTTATATTATTTCTTAATATAATAAATAGATATAAATAATAGTTAAATTAGTATTAACTAATAAGCTTAACTTAGCTAAGGTCTTTAAATATATATAAGTTTATAAAAGCTATAGGAAAAGGGGGGGTAATAAGCCTTATTACTAATAGGTAGTAATAGTAGCTTAAATCTATTATAATAGTACTAAACGTTCTAGTTATAAGTCCCTCTTTATAATGCCCTTATAGTCCTTTAGCTAGAAGGGTAACTAGTAGTAAATATAAGTTATATATAGATTATAAAGCTATATACTACTTATAAGGCTAGTTATAATATATAAAAGTATTATAATATTAGTTAAATAAGCTAAGCTAAACTAAGTTAAATATATAGTTTAAATAATAATATAGTATATAAAAGCTTTTAAGCCCCTTTAGCTACTTATATACTTACTTAGGTACTTAGGAGCTTAATTTCTTTTAGCTCTGACGTCATCCGCTAGTTACTAACTGCATTGGTCCTAATCCGTCCGACTTGATAACTTCCCTCACACTGATCCTAGGGATTCATTGGCGCCATACAGAGATGCACCCTGGAATTCAACATGGCTGAGCGACCGCCCTCGCAGCAAGAATCTGATACCCCTACTCCCTTCACTGCGGACCCCGACAAAGACAAGGTCAATCGAGATATTCCGCCAGTATTCCCTCTCCTGAACAACGACGAGACGGCGAACGCCCTGTCCTCCGATGCAGCTGCGCAGAGCCGAGCCGGTGAAGACGATGCCGACGAAGAACCGGCAGTTGCGAAGCCTTTCATGCGAACGTCTAGCCCGGACTCGGCGGCGCGAGTCGCAGATGCATACGATGAAAAGGGATTCGATCGGCTAGACCGCAAGATGCACAAATTCAGCCTGTACGAGACCGCCACTCGCTACTATATCGTCGGCGGGGATGTAACCGAGCGTCGCTATCGCATTCTGAAAATCGAAAGGACCACGGACGACTCAGAACTGAGCATCACCGACGATAAGATCATCTACAGCCAAAAGGAGATGAACCAGCTGCTGGACACGATTGACGATGGCAACAAGGGAACTGGTGGCATCAAGTTGCGGTGCACTACATGGGGCTTGCTTGGCTTCATCAAGTTCACTGGCCCCTACTATATGCTTTTGATCACGAAGAAGAGCACAGTTGCCATGATCGGCGGGCACTACATCTACCAAGTCGACGGTACTGAGCTGGTACCATTGACCCCGACACGTTTCAAGGCTGACGTCCGGAACACCGAGGAGTCTCGATTCCTGGGCATTCTCAACAACTTGGACCTGACCAGATCGTTTTATTATAGCTATTCCTACGATATTACGCGCACACTGCAGCACAACCTGACGAGGGAGCGTGAGGCGCTTGCATGTGGGCTGCCAGGTGCTATGGATGATTTCAATGGCATGTTCGTTTGGAACAGTCACCTTCTTCAGCCGGCGATGAAGGCCCTCAAGGATCCATTTGACTGGTGCCGTCCTATCATACATGGCTACATCGACCAAGCGGGTGGGTGATTTTGCTGCATTTTGAAGAAATCTTTGAGCTAACTTCACAGCACTTTCGATATATGGACGCACCGCTTACATTACCATTATTGCACGGCGATCACGTTTCTTTGCGGGTGCAAGATTCCTCAAGCGAGGGGCCAACGACCTTGTGAGTACTGCCGGGCACCAATCTGCCCTGTGACCTGCTTGCCGTACGGCCTGCTGATCACTGTGAAGGGTTATGTCGCCAATGATGTTGAGACGGAACAAATTGTTTCGGAAGCTCTCACTACTTCGTTTCACGCCCCTGGACCCAGACTGTTCTCCAGCCCACAGTACACATCTTACGTGCAACACAGAGGCAGCATCCCTCTATACTGGACCCAGGATAACACGGGAGTGACGCCCAAGCCCCCGATTGAGCTAAACCTAGTCGATCCGTTCTACAGCGCCGCCGCTCTCCATTTCGATAATCTCTTCGAGCGATACGGTGGCCCTATCTATGTCCTAAACCTGGTCAAGGCGAGAGAGAGAACGCCACGAGAGTCTAAGCTATTGCTGGAGTACACCAATGCGATCAACTACTTGAATCAGTTCTTGCCGGAAGGGCGCAAGATTATTCACAAAGCCTGGGACATGAGTAGAGCCGCGAAGAGTCGCGACCAAGATGTGATTGGTACGTTGGAGCGCATTGCTGAAGATGTGGTCACTACCACGGGATTCTTTCACGACGGCGATGGCAAAATCAACCTCACCAATGTCCAAAATGGAGTAGCGCGGACCAACTGCATCGACTGCTTGGACCGCACCAACGCAGCTCAGTTCGTCATCGGAAAACGAGCACTCGGGCATCAGCTCCACGCTCTCGGAATTCTCGAAGACACATCCATCAACTACGACACGGATGCCGTAAACCTCTTTACCCATATGTACCATGATCACGGCGACACTATTGCGGTCCAATACGGAGGTTCCCAGCTTGTCAATACCATGGAGACGTACCGCAAGATCAACCAGTGGACCAGTCACTCCCGCGACATGATCGAGAGCTTCAAGAGGTACTACAACAACTCTTTCCTGGATGGCCAGCGCCAGGAGGCATATAACCTTTTTCTCGGGAATTACATCTTTGCCCAGGGGCAGCCAATGCTGTGGGATTTGGCAACCGATTACTATCTCCATCACGCTGACCCACGAGCATGGTCCGAAAAGATGAAGCGGGATTACATCGACTGGTTCACACCCGATAACTTGCAGGAGCGCAAGTTCCCACCATACACTCCGCCTCCCGGCGAGGCAAGGAAGATGCCCGTTTCCTTCTTTGATGATTACTGGGTTGAGTACTACCGGCCATCCACACTCTCATCATTTCTCAAGATGTTTCCGTACAAGATGAACTCAACCATAAAGTACATACCCTTCAAGTCCACCCAAGATGGTCGCTACGATCTGAGCCCCTTCAGAGTCAGGAACGAGACCGACATGGAACCCCATGAGAAGAAAAAGCCCAAGAAAGAGGTGACCATCGTGGATCCCCAAGACTATCATTCTCCGCCTGACATGGATGCCGCATCTGTCATATCAGACCGCACGGCCGGGGGCAAGGGTATATCAATTCATCGCTGGCTCCAGCCAATGCAGGAGAGGGTAGTCGGCCATCATGGCATCATGAAGGAGACACAAGCAGAGCCATTGGGCTCTCCAAAGACGAAGCCCACAGCCCTGGAAAAAACTAAAGCAGCGCAGTGGACCTTTACCAAGGTGGTAAAAGAGTCCCTCAATCCCTCCGTCAGCCAGCAAGAAGCCGATGATTACGAGCGCTACATCAGTCATCCGCAGAATCTGCCTTTGGTTGTCTCGGCCGAAGTCCAGGCCGAGAACCAATCGGAGTACCAAGCCTATGTCCAGAGCAGTTGGCAGAGCGAGGCAATCACCCCTGTTGGGAATGAGGAAGATGCCGCTGTCTATGCCGAGCTTCTTAAGGTTGGGAGCAATCCTCTCACCGTTACGGAAGAGGATGCACAGAAGAAGCGATACAAGGCTTACAGAAAATGGCTTCGTGGAAAATCCTTCTTCAAGCAGCAACCTCTTGACTGATGTCTCCTTCGCTAGGCATTCCGATCGTGGCTTCTCCGTTGCCGAACAACTCCAGGAGCTTGGGCTCGGCATCGCACAATGGGTAGAAATGGTCCTGCGGAGACAAGTCCGCAGTTGTGAAGATGGTGGATATTATGGGTGCGAGGCTGGATACTGCAGCCAGAGTTCTCTCGAGAGCTTTGCTATCGGAAGCCCTTTCCTGTTCACTCTTCAAGTTCAGCCAGCAAACGCTCACTGCCCTCAGCAGCTCTCCTGAATGTGCCGGTCGTGAGATTCTAGGCCAGCAGTTGAGCATCATACTTGAGAGCGCCTGAGAAGTTGCCTCGATGCAGGTTGGGCAGGAAACGAAGAATGGGTCCGTCATGATGGCGGCGAACATGGATAGCAGATCCTAGGTATGAGTAAGTACCGTGATTGCACCATCTTGCCTGAAATGCTCACCTTGACGTGTGGAATTGTGAAGGTGCCCAGGTGTTGGACAACCAGCGAGGCTTGGCGCACCAGGAGCTCTACAGTCCTCGGGTACTCGGAGGCATACCAGTAGCCACTAATGATTCCTTCCCTTAGCAACCTGACGAAGAGACGATTCTTCCGAGGCCTGCTTCTCTCCTCTGGGAACTGGGCGCTCGCCAATCGAATGGCCGCGCCGTAGGCAGGGTCAAGGAGTTGCACAGATTCTTCCTCGGGCGTCAGCGTCGGTAGGGACATCAGTGACGGGAATATGGATTGCTCGAAGATTTCTCCGAGGCCCGTGTCTTGAAGAACGCTGGACGGGCACCTTGCAAGGAAGCTTTGTAAGATAGCGAGGCCCTGGGCCTTATATCTCGTATCCGTGTCGTCTATTAAAGCGAGAAGAACTGGGGTAAACAGTGGCCAGTTCTTCCCTACGACTTGTTCCTAGAAAATATTGGATGAGATGTGTCTATGAGTGTGCTTGGGCAACATGAACTCACGTCCGATCGCTCAACAGCCCATGAGAAAACGGTGATGGCGTGCAGCTGGTCCCCCTTCCAAGGCACAGTCTCAGCATCACTTGCAAAGATGTCTTTGCTGGCATGGTCGCGGTCATCATCAGCATAGTGGGCCTTTCTGCCAGTCGAAGTGATCCGACTCGACGACGACTGGGAGAAGAGTGGCCGAATGAAGCCTTCCAGAACGACAGACGTGATGAAGACACGTTTTCGGTGTTCGTCTGTTAGAGCGCAGTCCAGGAGGTCTTCGGCCATCAACGCTATTGTTTCCGTCGACCAGGTGGTGTTGCTGTCCGTGTAGGCGACAACAGACAACAACGTGTCATCGTTGATGTGAGCGGAGTAGTTGATGTTGAGGGCTCTCAAGACCGCTAGCACATCCTCCGCCGGAGCAGCATCGGCAGAATGTGGAAGGGGCAAAGGCAGGCCGCTGGGTGAGCGGCATAGCAATCCCGCAGCATGACTGGTTATTCGAGCAGCGGCTACATCATCCTCGGGCACTCGTTCAATGCGCTCTTTTAGGTTCAAGCAGAGGGATAACGCCTTGATAACCTGGCGATGAGGCTAGTTCTTGTGGTCAGTAACGTGCATCCACAGCCATCGGCCAAAAGTTCGGAGACAAATCACCAAAGAGTGGCACTCAGACAGGTCGTTTGCCAGGTCAACAATGGTAAAGCGAGGTAATACTATCGCTCATGGTCAGCATGTTGATGCTTAATGTCATATTTGAAGTTTTCGTTCCGCACCTTCTACGTCGATGTTGCTGGCAGCTTCACCCTGTTGCAATCGAGAAACAACGTCAGGCAACATCGCTCGCCCTGGACTAGAGGTCGGGCTGATATGGGGCTAAGGAAAGAAAAGTCGATCTGGCACTGGTTTTAACAATGCAAGTCTTCTGTTGTTAGAAAGGAAGATGGCTGATGCGAACAAAAACGATGGAGCAATTGGTCGAGGCTCGCCGAACGCACAGTGGTTGTGATTGTGGTGTTGCTTGGAGTCATTCGTCAGTCAGCCACCTTCTGCCTAGCGTGGCCCACCACCTGGAAGATGCACAGTGTATAGCCAATACACAGCACGGTGCCGCAATAATGAATACCCTCGCCCTCCCGCCTATTTGTTTAACTGCACTCTTACAGCTTCCGCCGACTCAATGGGCATAGGACGAGACTGAAGAAGTTCCCGAGTTTTATTTACATGTTGCACAAAACCTTCGTCTTCTGTTTCCGTACCGTCACCGAACTCCGTCGACACCAGTCACGACGAGTCGCAATTTCCACTCATCTGCCATCCATTCACAGCCAAATGCTAGCTCTTCTCTCTCTGCCTTCAGTCGCCCAGGTGGAAGTGCAAATCCGGCTCAAATCCCCTGAATCCCCAGTTCCCCGGATCTACGTCTTACCTCGGCTATGGCCCCGGCCGGATCGGTCTCGCCTCGATGGCGAAGCTGCCACGCCACACACACATCCAGCGCCTGTCCCAGCCACTTGCCTGGACGAATCCCGAGCTCTTGCGTCAATAATCGACCGTCTACCAGCCTTCGAAGATTCGGCGCATCAAGAAGGTCGAGGTCAGCAAGGTGGTCTACAAATTTCTGCCAGCCCAAGAGAAACTGGGTATTATCTGTAGTCATGTCAGCTAACAGTCCTTGGTAGGCTGGAATAATTGATCTGCTGGGACTGACCTGCGTCTGACCCCAGCTCAAATTTTTCCATTGCCTCGACAAGAAGAGCATATAGAACCTGAACGCGCCACCGACCTCCACGGGAATCCCACTTGCGGATCGCCATGCCAACAGTGTCTCGCTCCGAGGCCCGCGGCTCCTTGGCCCACGTGCTTTGCTTCAGGCTCGCAATCTCACTTCGATGTCGGCACGCCCCTGTGATCACATCGCAGAGTTTGTTCGGCGCCTTGATGCCTTCGCGAGCCACCAGTGTCGCTAGGGGAAGAGTGCCCTTACTCTTCGGAACAGTCACCTCGGTATCGACGTGTGCATACGGGGCGACTGCGGCAAGAGCCCACGCAAAGTAAGCAGCGTCGTCATCCACGACGAGCGTGTCATAGATAGACCCTGGAGCCCTTTCGCAGGCGAGCCGGTCAAGGCACTCGTAGGCGAGTCTCCACTTGGAGACGTCTGGTGGGGGGCGGTCGTTGGTGTTTGGATCCGTGAATATGGCACCGTACAGTCCAAGGTTGTGAATCAGCTCAAGAGAGCTTCGCGGGTGCTTGCCTCTTAGCATCTTCTCAACCTCGACCCCGACCCTCTCGCGGCTGATTTTCAGCTTCAATGCCTCTAGGACGGAAGGTTCCGACATGACTGCCGTGGCGGCAGGATCTATGGTAAAATCGAGACGACTGGCAAAGCGAACCAACCTCAAGACCCTGAGCGGGTCATCCGTGAAAGTCTGAAGCGGACACATTGGGGTGCGAATCAGGCGAGATTTCATGTCCGCAAGACCACTTGTCATGTCTTCGACGACGCTGTCGTGTAAGTTGTAGAACAAGGCGTTGATGGTTGCATCTCGACGCCGGGCATCTTCGCGAGCGGTGCCGAATTCCATGGTCGGATTGCGGCTGTCGTCTGCGTAAGTTTCCTTGCGAAGGTTAACAAAGTCAACATCAAGGCCAAAAATGCGACATGTGGCGGTCTCGAGATGCTTTGACTTGTCTGGGTTGGCAGCGATCTTGTGAAGGCCCCCTAGATCACCGGGGCTGATGTTGTGCCTTTTAATGTTGTCCTGGTTGGTGCAATAATCGCGCATCTCCATACTGAACGCATAGCCAGTCATGGCATTGATGGCGGTATCGATGTCATGACTTTCGATGCCTAGCAACTTGTCACGTACCCAGCCACCAGCCCAGCGCAGGACCAGAGGCTGCGGAGAGCGACCGGCGGCATCGATAGAGGCAGCGACATCGACGAGGAGGTCTCTCAGCTGCTTTTCTTTGGCAGTGAGGTTGAGTGTGGGTGAGGCGGTGGAGGCGGAGGTGTCGGTAGCCATGTTGCGGAGAGGTTGAGATGCAGGTGGAGTTGTGCGACCCGCGAAGGTGTCAAAATCTCTCTTCATGGGGTGAGAGATGACGGAGTGTTTCCAGATCAGGGCGGTTCGAGCACATGCACGTATCATGTCATGATACAGGCAACAGTGCTAGCGAATCTAGGACGTCGCAGTCGACAATAGGTGCAGTGTGTAGGCGCTTTTGGCGCAAAGAGACATAAAACAGCCCGTGTCGTCAAGGCCGGGCGATGGATGGGGAGACGAACTGCGCCGCAGCTGTACAAAGTCTGGGGTTGGAAACGCGTTCGGTGATCACGCAATGCTTCCCCGTGGACGAGACTGCAAGGTGGCGGCGATGCTTTCGGCTTGGCCAGCGGCTGTGCTGAGCTTGAGATGAAGTCTCGAGATGGAGAAGGCTGCTGCCGTGGTTAGCAGGTGAAATGTACGACCGGGGTAAGACGAGACCGGTGAGATGAGAGAGTGGTTCGTGGGGAGATGGGATGATATGAAGCAGAGATGGAGTTTGTAAAGTGAGACGGGCCGGTGAGAGAAATTTGTGTCATGGCTGTTGACTGAGGTTGTGTTTTGACTCACGGGCTCTCTTTCCTTGGTGATGCAGGGCAGAACGAGTCAAGGTACCATGGGCAGACCGTTGAAACTTGAAGGACCCTGCAGGGAATTTGGCGTTGAAGGCGAGGCTCTGTGGTGTTGGGCGCCTGTAAATGTATGAGGTGGTGTTTGCGGTGATTGGGCCAGAGTCGCGCGTGCTGTGATCCACTCAGCAAGGTACCTTACCTAAGCCCAAGGTAGGTGCGGCAAGGCAGGCAGGTTACCTAAGCCACCTCGGGGTCAGGTCGTGGTGGACAGTGAGGCACCTTAGCTTAGGTAGGTACCTAGGTAATTGGACTGAGTGGAGGTGAGGTAGTGCATGTGTGCCTCGGGCCTTCTCCTCCGACATCAAGTGGGGTTACAACACATGCACCGGTAGACATACCTTACATAAACGTGGTTATTGAATATGCAAGACATACCGTGGTACCCGACCCAAGGTACCTTAGGCTCTGCTTCAGAGGCTTCCGATAATCCGCTCTGTTCAAGCAGGTAGGATTGGATTTCAGGTGCAATTCAGCAATCCAACCCGCCAAAAGTTTGCCTTTAATTGCCTTCCGCTGTCACCTTTAACCTTCTTCGGCTCCCGTCGTAGTCAAGGTGAACACCATCACATCCAAGTCCATCAACCCGCCAAGAAATTCGAATAAGGTGCTACATCACTCCCCCATATGATGGGATGGCCATTTCTTCTCCTCCCGGTCCGGGGCCTGGTCTCATCATTTCCATGCAAAGGCCACCAGCTTCAGGCCGATTCAACGGATACCCTATCACCGCCCCCACGTTGACCTCAATTTTACCTTTAGCCTACTGTGAGACACTACCTTGATTGATTCAAGATTCAAGCATGTATTGTAGCTTAATCTACCTTACACTGGGCCCGAAAGTTGACACAAATCAGTTGTACGTACCTATCTTATGCGACTTGTAAATCCCATCCGTCGCCGATCCATCCAACTTCCCCCTTGATTACAGACCACACCCATTCGTGCCCTTAACCACCCAGCCCCTACTACATGGGAGTCCCCGTGATCCCCTCGTCTGTTTTTCTCTCTTCCCGCTTGTTCTGTCCCTCTTCTCCGCCGAGAAACAAAACTGATCGACATCGGTAGAGGGTAACACCTCATGCGATTGGTTCCCCAAAAACACCGTGAGGCGTTTGGCAACTCGGTTTCACCGACCGCCGGTGCGCAGTCCACGTCGCCGTTTCCATACAACGCCCGTCTCATCGACCTGGGTTCCCATGTTTAGGATTGGGTGGCCTTTGCTTGCATACCGCGCCATCCGCGCCTCGCCGCTTCTCTTCCTGCTTCTCTCTGCTTCTGCTTCTCTGCCTTTCTTACCGACTCAGGAGGCCGTCTAATCCGTTCAGGCCAATCTTATGCGCACACAACCGACACATGCGCGTGCTAACGTGTTTGCCTTAGCGTCGTCTGGTAACAAATCTCGACCTACATTGTCTTCTGTTCGACATTATACCACGGATGATTCAGACGTTGAATCCAACTAGAGCGATCTCCACGTTGCCTTGTAATGATCTGCACGTCACTGACTGGACCTACGCTTGTACCAAGATGAATACAACTCAAGTTAGCAGCCTGCCCGTAACCAAAGTCAACCGGTTATAAGCAACTAACCTTCGTGTGCAGCACACCATGCTGCAAGGGACAGCCGTTAGTTATCACGCTGTTAAGACACCTTACCTTTGGCCAAGCTGTTGAAGGCGCTTGCTATCGGCTACAAGAGATGCCGGCCCGTCACTACCGAACGTCTTCGTGAATCAACCCATCTTCGCTCGGCGAACATGACTTGCCAAGATAGGCAGCCAGCGGCAGACAGCTTACGACTGCTTGTCTGGAAATCTGATGGCCGGTCCAACCGCGAAACTGGATTCCACTGATGGTCAGCTTGGCCCGTCTTACACGCCGATGTCGTCTACAAGTTGATGGCGACCTCGTCCACGCCCTGGATCCCACGTCTTCGAATCGACTTCATGCCTGCGCCTCACACGCATCACAGGCTACTGCTCACCCTTGCCGCACTAACCCACCGCTGCCTCATGCAGGGTTGCCCAGGTTGTCGCGGCAGATCATCAGTAGCCGTGCGTACGCTGTCGCCGCCGGGTATCGTGGGTTTCAATTGGGTACTCAGTCCCTGGCCAGTCCCTGGCTCTCATCTTCCGTGGGTTATCCCCCGTTGCGACAACACTACCCGGCGCTGCAGATCCGGTTTGAACGTTTCTTTCGTGGATTGTGGATCGAAACAGAGCCGTCCTTTCTTCCCATCGAAACACGCACAACACACGTTGCCCAGAGCTCTCGGTAGCATGCTCTAATCTCTGCGCCGGTTGTGTGGCAGATCACTGTCGGGTGTCCAGGAAAATACGTCTGCCAGGTTTGTGTGAAGCTTGCCTTGCCAAGGGAGTCTCAAACGGAGTTGCAATGACCCTTGCGTGAATGGGACATTCCACAAGGATTTCCATAATTGATTTCCATTATCTCACTCGGTCGCAGAGCAGAGATGGACGTTGGACGAGTCCGGTTTCTGGCTATTCCATATGATCTCACATCCCAATGTGCTTACTGAAGAATGGACGTTCAGATGGCCAGTCTTCGAGGCTGACTCTTTCCCGTTCTTCTTGCTTCTATTGAGGAGCAAGGTCCAACGAACAAGACAGCCACTGTCACGAACCATTCAATTCAAGTGTCGACCTTCTCCCTGAACTAGTTGCAGCTTATACCAAAGCAAATCATGTGCCACTTGCTACAAGACTAGGACGGACTGTCGAACATCGATATCCGGGACTACCATGTTTGCAGACATGCAAGTCATCGGCTCATGAGTTTGCACCCGCTCTTTCCGCCCCTCCCCCCTTTTCTTTTCCCGGCATGCCTGATGCTTCATCGCGGGCCAGCGAAAGGTCATCCTGATTCCCGGTCGTGGGCTCGGGCTTTCCAACTGACATTCGGTCACACCAACTCCGGAACCTTCATACCATTTTGGTTGTTGACACCCCATCTCTCACCCTCTCCCACCCCCTGGCCCGAGGCCCGCATGAGGCTCTGCTCTCGCGGTCTCACCACAGCCTCCCTTTCTACTGCGTACTGCCAACCCGTCTACACTTTCCCGTTCGCGCTTGAGCGCCAATGCTCACCCCAACAACTCTTGTCGCATTGAGGCTCTCTCGCAAAAACATGTTTGGCTTGGCAGTTTGGGATCTCGGATGGACTTTCAGCTAACCTCCCGGAGTATCGAAGAACTACTGTGAGATGGGGGCGAGCAGATGAAGACGAGGAAGGGCGTTTCGTCCCGACATCAGATATCGCGATCGCTCCGTCGTCTTGTGTGAATGAATCTTCCTATAAAGACTGATCTAACCTCCCACCCTCTCCCGGTCTGAACTCTTCATCCTCATCCAGCAACCAGCAGTCCTTTTTCAAGTCTCCTTCTCTCCTTCCAATCTTTCATTGTATTGTATAATTCTTCCCTGCCGGTCAGGACTTACCTTCTCTCACATACAAAATGTCTTACATTAAGAGCGTCTTCGCCATCGGTCTTTTGGCCACCGCCGACCTCGTTGCCGGCCACGCTGCCATCGTTGGCGCCACTGGTGATGCCGGAGGTCAGGGTATGGCCATTGGCATCGACTCCAGCACCCCCCGTGACGGAACACGCCGCAACCCGTTCCAGCAGGACAGCACCCGCTTCAAGGGCGAAGCTGCCGATACCTTCGGCGAGACTGTCGGCGGGGGTACCAACAGCCTTGAGACTGGCACCAAGGCCATCATGGCCGAGACTGGCCAGATGCTGCCTCAGATCTCTGCCGGCGGCTCCGTCGACATGACGCTGCACCAGGTCAACGGCGACGGTGGTGGTGAGTACTCCGAAGCCGTCCATATCTCGTGGAGATTAGTTTGCTAACACGCTTCGAGGCCCGTACGACTGCATGATCAACGCCGATGCCACTGGCGCGCAGTGGACCAACATCAACGTCATTACGACCCCCCCGGGCCAGAACTCTCGCAACCGCGACGGTGCCATGACCGACTTCCCTCTCAAGGCTGCCATCCCGGCCGATCAGACTTGCACTGGTACCGTTGCTGGCCAGTCCAACGTCTGCTTGGTTCGCTGCCAGAACGCCGCCCGTGCCGGCCCCTTCGGTGGTATTGTTCCGGTCCAGATGGCTGGTTCTACCACCCCGGCCGCTGCTCGCCGCAACCTCATGCTCGCCATGAAGAGAAGCGAGGACCTTCTCGACAAGATGGTCAAGCGTGCCCAGTCTGCCGCTGCTGCCCCCGAGGACGATCCCGCGTACCTGGCCGAGCTCCGCGCTGACGGCGAGGAGATCTAAATCAAGCATTCACTTCCTGGGTTTTGAGGCTACAGGAGGATCCGCGGAGGCAGAAAGGACTGGCGATGATAAAGAGGCTGCTGATTAGATGCTGATGCTGATGCCTACTATATTGTATTTGGAGAGGGCTTGACTGTGTCTCGTCGTCGATAGTACACAATTCCATTCTCTGACTGCGTTGCTAAGATTTTGAATCACAATTTTGTTGACATGGTGAGATGGTGAGACGAGAAGATTTGTCTCGTACTCACTTACACGTCAGTCTAACTGTCTGCAAAGCACTCTGATGGGCGGGAAAGGGAAGATGGGGGCATGAAAATTTGGGGAAAAGGTTACAGGACGCTCAATCACCGTAAAAGCCATACATACGGGGCGGGTTGGTTGCATCGGGGTTCGGATGGTGAGAGCGTCAGGCATGCACAGCCACCGCTTGACACGGCGTGTCTAGACCAAGCACCCGACTTAAGCTCGGTCGTGGAGGTTGCGAGCCGTGAGCCTCAGTCCGCCGAGGGAATGAAAACTGTGCAAATGGGAAATGATGATGGCGAGAGGGTGATGACGATGGCGAATCGGTGACGGCGACGGCTGAAGCTGGGGATGGGGGTCGGGACCAGTAGATGACTACGAAGTGCGGCAGACTGCAACACCAGTTGCAGCATCGTGGTTGTCAGCAGAACCAGGTCAACTGTCATAAGTCGACGATGTGTTGACCGTTATTTCGAAGAGGGCGGCTTTTCCGAATGACAGATCCGTTTCACCACTCGACACATCCTTTTCACCTCCTATATCCATGCTTCCATGAGTCTCGTGGCCTCTTGTTCATCCCAAGTGAGTGACGACAATCTCAATACAGCTGGACTGAGGTTGCGAGGGATCAGCTTGTCTGTGATGCGGGCGCCTGTCGAAATTACGAATGCTCATGAAAAGCTACGAGCCCGCTGCTGTGCTGTGTGAGCGGGCGCCGTGGAAAATGGCTCGCTTCTCTCCCGTCCAATTGGGTAAGTGATTGGTGACGTCAAGGGCAGCCGCAGATCGTCGTCACCTTCCCCGCGAAAAGCCAAAGATGGGAGCCAGATGGGCTCGAGTAGGGTGCAAGGTAAGGTGTGCCGTAGGCAGGAAGACAAAACGTAGCCCGGCGCCAATGAACAAACGTTGTGGCGGCCAGCTCTTACCAGGTTGGGAATAGTACCTCCAGACAAGCTAAAGTGCCAAGAAGCATGGTTGAATTGCCAAAGGCAACTCATGTTCATCATCAACCCGGTAGTGTCACACTGGAGGCCAACCACTGTCGAGTAAGTGCCTCATGTGCTACCTACCTTCAGGTTGAGGTACCTTCTCTCGCCTCTACCTCTCTACCTTTTAGTACCTACCTATCGCATGAGGCACCGGCTGACTCTTTCAACGTTGTAGATACCCTCACAAAGATCCTCGCCCTTGCCTCGCCCCAAGTACTCAACCCCCCTCCTTGATAATGTAGCTGGTCTCACCTACTTCAGTGTTCAAAGAACCTTACCCAGTACTTGTCGATCAAAGCCAAGCCGTGCTTCGTCCAAGCCATGGGATGTCATTGGCAGATGACTTCCTCAATGAGGTACTCCGCACGCCCTGCCTTCCGGTACCGTCGCTACTACTTGCGTAGCTTCGTTACCAGCGCCGAAGCAGCATGGTGAGGTAACGAAGTGAGTGGCCCGTACCTTAGCTGGCTGATGTGTAAGATATGGATGGGTATGGTAAGGTATGGTGAGATACCTCAACACACCTTCCTTACCTTACTTTCCCTAAGCCTTCATAAATACGCTCGTCCCCTCTCCTCCCCCCTCTACCAAAGCTTTCCCCTCTATCTACCTACCCAGTCATCTAGGTTGACGTTGGAAGTGAAGAATCGCCTACCTATACCACCAAAGAAACCCATACCTGTTCCGACATCTCCATCTCCAACTTGTCAAACATCGCTGCAACAGCCACACGACGCTTCGTCACCTCTTGTACCGCGCTGCGCCGAATCTAGAATCAGACTCCTTTGTCCATCGCCCTTGACAATGTCCAGTGAGTTAGTTGTTTCTTCGTGGCATATCGCACTAACACATTTATCTCCAGACGACCAAACCAGAACCGACACCATCACTATTGAGACGCAGACCTCACCGGCCCCTCTCAATGGCGAGGTTGCTCCGGCGCTGTCATCGTCGCCGACTGACCGGAGAGCAAGCACAGATGAGTGGGGTAGGCAATTGGCTCCCTCAGTTTCTGCCCGACAGGCGCTAATGTAGCTTCCACCAGATGCATCCAAAGTGCCGCCGAGCCGTTTCCAGAAGCGCAAGGGCTCGATCTACGCAACCCCCGGATCCCGCGACGGTCATGTCGACAGGAACTATGCCTCGGGCTTCCACGAGAAGCACACCGAGAAGGGATACGGCAAGACGCCCACCAAATAAGCCGTGTGCCTACTGCCGTGTGGCAAGCCAATCAACCGAGAGCGGCTGAACATTATGAGAGCAAGAGTGCCCACAAACGGGTAACGCGAGACCTGGGAATGAATCAATGAGGAATGAATTGAAACGGCGACCTTGGATTGGAATCGGTCTTCTTGTCCTGCTTGTATGATATTACCTAAAACTAGCCAACCACCCGCTTGCCTCCCACCGTCTGTCCTCAGAGGAAGCAGAATTGATACGCTTTATTCGTCAAGGTCGTCGATGTCGATGGCATCCGGATTAGCTGCCACAGCTTGTGATTCAGTGGTGTTTGTTTTGGCAGCATCACTTGCTGCCACAAATCCGGCGGGTGCTCTCGCCTGCCGGTCGAGAGCCTCCATGGCATCGGCCACCTTCGGGTCCGCCAAATCCTCTGGCCGCCGCTGGCTACGCGCAAGCGCTTGAGAAGCAATAAAGTTGACGTCCGTATTGTACTGCGCCTGCACGCTCCGCTTGATGCGGAGCATCTCCTTGAATGTGTCCTCATTGCCGTGCTGCACTTCGAACGCTTCCCACTTGGCCCAAAAGTCGGGGCTGGTTCGTGGGTCGCAGAACTGAGACGCGTGACCGTAGATAGCCCGCGCCCGATCGATTTCGCCAAGCCGCTTCTCCATGTCGGCAAACTTTAGGCACATATCCCGTGCCTCGTTGTCAGGAAGGGTGGAAATGGCCTTTTCGTAAATCGGTCTCGTTGACGGCAGACCAAAGTTCGATGCCGATTTCGTAATGTAAAAATTGAACATGTCTGCCCGGTCCTCGTCGGCCACTGCCCTCGTCGCCCGTTCGTAGATCCGCATGGCATGCCTTGCAAGGCCTCGCTCCTCCTCCAGGTTGCCGTACATGAGGTATATCACCTTGGCAAACTTAGGCGGACAGTCCTCGATCGCCTGCTCAAAGAGGTCGCGTAGTCGCTCGATACCAATCTTGCGGTCAACGGCCTTGGTCAGGTACAGGTTCCAGAGCTCGAAAGCCACGGGGTAGCTGAACAGATCCAGACCGCGTTCGTAAATTTTGAACGACTCTTCGTAGTACTGGTGTTCCTCCAGCAGATTCGCATAGTTGACCACTGTTTGCGGCGTCGCAATTCGCAGCTCAAATATGCGCTCGTATACCTTTCGAGTGTCTTCCAGAGAACTCACGCTTTCCACCAGATCCACGTAGAAACTCCACAGCTTCCAGCTTTTGTGTACGCGCTGCTGAGGCGACAACGTCTCGTCAAAATAGTCGACAGTCGATCTTTTCGGTGCCTGAACGGCCTTCGCCATGATCCGCACGGCGTCGTCGAAGTTCTCGTTCCGCAGCTCCATTTCGGCCCATTCAATCCACATATCGGCCAGCTCCGCCACAGACTTGAAGGGGACTTTGACGGCCTTTTCCATGATGATGCGCGCGTTGCGAATGTCGCCGCCTCGCTCGTAGAACTTCGCGTAGTTGGCCCAGAGCTGATGAAAGGCACCGACAGCCTTCTTTGGCTGTATGGTTGCGATAGCAGCAGTATACGTTTGCACAACCTCGAGCTTATTGTCGCCCCAAAGTGCCACCCGTTTCTCCCACTCGGCAACGTTATTGGGGTTTTGTCGCAGAACAACGTCATTGAGGAGGAATGGTCTTCTGTCCATGAGCTGCTCGAAGCGCATCATGCGAATATCGAGCTCGAAGTCTGCTTCTTCGTCTACCACACCCTTGTCTGCGCGATCCGAGGCGACTTCCATGAGAGCTCCGATTATGGACTCTTCAAACTCGGTGTACGAGTCAAAGACTAGGGTGAAGTCCCTGACTGTCATGACGGTGGTAATTGCCTCCTCGAAGACATCTCTGGCGCGTTCAAAGCTGCCTCGCCTGATCCAGTATGTAGCTAGCCCACACCAGAGCTTCCCTCGCTGATCGGCAAATCGTACAATGCCACTCCTGATGATTCTGTCGACGTCGATACCTGTCTCGTGCCCGGTCTCAACTTCAGCCGCGTGCTCGACGATCGTATCAACCATCTCACTCCACAGCTCATAGTGCCCCTTGCCGTGCTTGCTGATGAATCGCGTGTTGTTCAGGACGTCCATATACTTTTTGACGGCTTCGGTATACAAGCCGACCTGAGTCAGCAATTCGATGAAATCCTCGGCGTCCTCTGGATGAATCTGCATGTAGCGGCGCCACACCTTGACGGCACTGATTCCCGCAGCAGAGTTCGCAAACGGTTTGTAGAGAGCCCATATTCTATTATGCTGGGTCAAGGGGAGAGCGCGCAGAGCTCTATCGAAAGTTCGTCGTGTGGTAGTGACAAGGGGCTGCTGGAGCAAGAACTTGAGGTACAGCTCCCAGATGCGCGGCATCTTGTTGAGGAGAATCAAAGCACGCTCAAAAAGCGCGTTGACTTTTCGGTGCTCGGCGGCGAAGATCGCGGCATTAAGCTTCGAGACGTGCTTGACGCGGAAGGTCAGATACTGTTGTGGTCAGCAGGAAAGCTCAGCAAGAAAGTAACACACTGAAGTCACGAGCTCATCTAACCGTACCATTTTCCAAAGCTTGTAGGATCGCGGGAGCTGGAGACAGGCTCTTTCAAGCACGAATGCGCGCTCATGTAATGTTCCATGCTGAGTCTTGAACTCTATGTATGCCAGCCATGGCTTCGTGCTTCCTGGGTTCCGTAAGATATCTTGCTCGTAGACCGAGTCCTCGTCGCTCTTCGAATAAGTTAGCGCGTCGTCCAAGGCACGTATACGCCAGCGACCGAATGGAAAGAGCACAATACTTACAACTAGATGCAGATCTGGACGCCTCTGGGCGCCGTTAAGAAGCATAGAGGCAGGCATCTTGATTCAGGCCACCTGCCCAAGACCCATAGACGTCGGGGCCGAATAGTCGAGAGCCAGGGACTATGCCTCTGCTTCTGCGAAAGTCGCAGGACGCAAGGAAGGGTAAGAAGCGAGCAAACAACGTGGTTCAGAAAGAAATCATGGCGCAGCGGAGATGATTGAGCTCCTCCGTGTGGAACTGCCAGGCAGTATAGGTAAGGCAACGTTGGCGATGTAATTCGATGCGTCTTCGCGCCATCAACAAGGCCCGACCGCAAGGTAGGAAAAACAGGTGCCCCACTTTATTACTCAGCTTTTCCAATTCAGAAGCCGCTGATGAGCCGTCAGGGCCCACTACTAGTGTATGCATCCTCTCTCTTCTCCCAGCCTATACTAATTAGGTAGGTACCTAGGACGAACAAGGTTCATTACTACTACGTAGTATAGTGGTATACTGGTATACTGATGCCTCAATACGGAGATCTTGTCCCCAAATATGAATAATTCTTGATGGAAATGTCTATTCACGATTGAATGAAGTCCTGCATTATGCCCATCAAGACTCGATGATCATTTTAGAGAGTATGTACAACAAAGGTCGGAACCTAGATAGCTTGCAGGCACCCACCGAGCCGCAGCCACAACAAAGCTCCAGTGGGGCATTCTTCACTCAGTATGTCAGAGATAGCTGAGTACTTGATCTTTTGCAGACCTTGAGGCACAAGACGAGGTATTTATCTATTTATTGGGAGTAAGAAACCTACCAATGCTTACGACCAGCTCTCTTACCGTATCCGTACCTAGGCCTAATCGAAGCACTGACGCAACGAGCACTCCAACGTCCGTCGGTTATCGACAACACCTCCAGCCATCGCCCATTCGTTAGAAGAGCGCGCCATTGTCTATCTCCTCTGATTGCCGCCGCTCTGAACACCTTGCTGGGCTGGACTTGTCCTATAATACGTGCATTCTTACCGAGACCGACTGACACGACTGAATCCCCCCCTGGTTTCTGTCAACTACCGCCATCATGTCGGGCGCTCCTGTACGTCGATGCATTCTCGCCCACCTGTTCTGGATCGCGGAGCTGATAACGAGGTTGTCATAGGATCGAGAGGCCGTCTTTCCCACGCGCCAGTCGCTGGGAATCATGAAGGCAAAGCTCAAGGGGGCCGAGACTGGCCACAGTCTGTTGAAGAGAAAGAGTGAGGCCTTGACCAAGTACGTGCTATCCAAGTGAAGGCTGGGTGGAGGATGTTGACTTTGGGAACATCCGACTAACTTATGGTGCATCGTAGGCGATTTAGAGGTCCGCGTTTCTGCCCCCTTCCCGAGACAACCCCGCTGACGACGACTCAACAGAGATTACCAGACGCATCGACGAGGCTAAACGCAAGATGGGACGTGTAATGCAGATTGCGTCCTTTTCCTTGGCTGAAGTTACGTATGCGGTCGGTGGCGATATCGGGTATCAAATCCAAGAGTCGGCGAGGTCGGCTCGTTTCCGCGTGCGCACTAAGCAGGAGAACGTGTCCGGTGTTCTTCTGCCGGCATTTGAGAGCTACGTGACCGAAGGAAACAATGACTTCGGCCTCACAGGTCTGGGCAAAGGTGGTCAACAAGTTCAACGTTGTCGCGAGACCTACGCCCGTGCTGTGGAGGCTCTGGTCGAGCTCGCTAGTCTTCAGGTGCGTTGCGTGTTTACCTCTTGTGTAAGTAATCCACAGGCTAACGCTCCAAGACTGCCTTCGTCATTCTCGACGAGGTAATCAAGGTCGTCAACCGACGCGGTAAGTTCTCTCGTCTTTAGTGAGCACGTGTGAAGACGCTGACATGATACAGTCAATGCCATGTAAGGAAAACGAGAACGACCCGCGCACTTCTCCCTACTAACCGGCAACAGCGAGCACGTCATCATTCCCAGAACAGAGAACACCATCAAGTGTAAGCTGCTCATTTCATGTCTAACGAAACGGAGCCAAAGAACTCATCTTGACCGCAGACATCAATTCCGAATTGGACGAACTGGACAGAGAAGAGTTTTACAGATTGAAGAAGGTACAGCGATTTTCGTAAATTACATGTGTTAACAGCCGCTGACTCGACATGTAGGTCGCAAACAAGAAACAAAGAGATACTGCAGCCGCAGATGCAGAGATCAAGGCCAAGAAGGCTGCCAAGGCGGGCCACGAGGCCGGCAATGCATCGGGACCGACTGATCTTCTCGCTGCCGAAGACGACAACGACGTCATCTTTTAAATTTCTGTCAGAGTTCATTGTAATGGGCTACGAAGCATGTATTATAGCCAAGGCAGCTAGCTAGCTCGTTTGGCAGTCCGTCCTCGCAACATTTCTCATACCCTGCCTAAGTCTCAAAAACCGAAGTCCGTTTTGGAAACGTGTGCAACTATTTTCGTTGCCTCATTGGCGCTGATACGTGACCTTAATCGTGTGCGAATCTCCAAGAACCATGCCGGCGGTATTCTCCTTTGCTGTGATAGCACCCTGTTCGCCCTCGTACTCCACGAAGGCTATACCACGACGACCTGGAACCAGACGAACCTCACGGAATCCCTCAAAACGCCCAAATATGCTGGTAACAGCCTCGATGTCGTAGTCTTCCGGGAGGTTCTGGACGAACAGAATCTTGTTCGGGGGAAGGTACTCGTCTGGGACGACAGCGGTTGCAGAGGGATTCGTGGACTTGAGGCCAGCGCCGCGGGCAGCCTTGGCTGGTCGATTGGCATCCGGGCCGGCACCACCTGGGCCAGGTCTCTTAAGCCGCTTCTGCTCTTCAGCAGCCTCGTATGCCTTCTTCTTGTCTGAAGTAGTGGTGATGAGGTTAGCGAAGAGAAAGCCAAAGATGGAGAAGATAACCGTACCCTTTTCAGCTAGTCGACGACGTTTGTGTAGCTCAAATTCTTCCTCGTTACCCGTAGTCTTGACTGTCGCGTCGCTCCTAGTTCGTGCCAGCGCAAGCTGCATAGGTTTGTCGAACAGTTCGAAGCCCTGGACTTCGTCGATCGCTTTGCGCGCGGACTCTGGGTTGTCGAAAACCACAAAGGCCTGGCCCTTGGCCTTCAAATTCGTCTTTGCGACAACGTCGAGGACATTGCCGTACTCGGAGAAGATCTGAAGCAGCGCATCCTTCAGCTGGTCGATCTTGGCGCGTTCTTCTAGATTTCGCACGTATACTCTGTAGCACAAGTCAGCCACTGGCCCGACGTGTCGAAGTGCAATGACACGTACGTGGCGATGGGGAGACCGGAAGCCATTTCGACAAAGTAAATGATTTCAAAGGGGATGTTGAGGAAGCGATGAGCGCATAAATTACAGCGTGGGTGGTTCTAACGATTGAAGTGTTCCGAGGTTCAGACTACACCTGCCTAGACCTGGGCGCCTAAAAGAGTTACGCGCGCCAATGCCGCATACGGTGCACTCGCCAGCTTGCCGCGCAAGGTGTCACCAGTCTTGAAAGGTGGATACCTTCTTAAAGTACCTGATGCTCTGGGTAAGGTGTATTAGTGTGCGGTCTGAAGAGGCACCCGACCTCATGAACTCAGGTCCTTTGAAAAGGTACCTGCGGGTCAGGTAGGTTCCAGGTACCTACCTAGTGGATTACTGCCCTCCACCGCCACAATAGGCCTAAGGTAAGGTACCTTCCATACTGGACCCAACCCGACCTGATGGGCAACCTGGAATGGATTGCTCAGGTTGAGCCACACCTGCGGCAGCTTGAAGCCACTCTCCCTGTTCGACACGACAGAACGTGGCCTCTTGAAGTCATCTACAATCGTGTCCAAAACCACGAGCACCAATCTCGACCTGTCTGCGCTTTATTACGGACGACTTCTGGCATTGACGCGCAGCCTTCCCCAGCCAAAAACCATCCAGATCCCAAATTCACATTTGTCGAAGCCAACATTCGTATCCCGGGTCGTCGCCAGTTATCATGGATTACGAAGCTCTCAAGGAGCAGTGGAGCGAGGTCGAGGACCGCGATGGCGTCCGTCTCAGCTGGAACGTCTTCCCTAGCTCGCGCATGGTCAGTTTGACTTTGATGGTACAGTCCGAGATATATCAACTCACTTTGACCCCATACAGGAAGCATCGCGCCTCGTTGTGCCCATCGGCGCCCTGTATACACCTCTCAAGGAGAAGCCTGACACCCCTCTCCTTCAATTCGAGCCCGTCACTTGCAAGCAGCCTTGCCGCTCTGTCCTGAATCCCTTCTGGTGAGATGGACTTGAATTCGCGTTTTGTACACAACTGACGTTCCGTCCCTGCAGCTCGGTAGACGTCCGCGCTCGTCTTTGGATCTGCCCGTTCTGCCTCTCGCGAAACCCCTTGCCGCCGCACTACAAAGATATCAACGCCCAAGCAATCCCACCCGAGCTGCACCCCTCGAACACTACGATTGAATACCGCCTTTCGCGCCCGGCGCCCAGCGCGCCCATTTTCCTCTATGTCGTCGACACTTGCCAAGAGGAAGACAGCCTGGCGGCGTTAAAGGAGTCGCTGATCATGAGCTTGAGTCTCCTCCCCGAGAATGCTCTCGTCGGCCTCATTACCTACGGAACCATGGCTCAGGTGCACGAGATCGGCTACACCGAATGCGCCAAGTCGTACGTCTTCCGCGGCAGCAAGGACTACAACGCGAAGCAGGTCCAGGAAATGCTTGGGCTTCTGTCACCGGGCATGAGACCTGGTCAACCTCAAATCCAGCCCGGCAGGCCTATGCCTGCGGGCCCTGCATCGCGTTTCTTGCTGCCTGTCTCTCAGGCCGAGTTTCAGTTGACCAAGGCCCTAGAGCAGCTTCAGAAGGACCCCTGGCCCGTTGCGAATGACCGCAGGAACCTACGATGCACTGGTGTCGCCCTGAGCGTGGCAGTAGGTCTCCTCGAATCCTCTTTCCAGCATGCCGGAGGCCGTATCATGCTGTTCGCTGGTGGGCCAGCTACAGAGGGACCTGGTATGGTTGTCGGCCCAGAGCTCCGGGAGCCCATCCGGTCTCACCACGATATCGACCGAGACAACATCAAGTACTACAAGAAGGCTCTCAAATTCTACGACAACCTCGCCAAGAGGTCGGCCCACAATGGGCATGTCATTGACATCTTCGCTGGTTGCTTGGACCAAGTCGGTCTGCTTGAAATGAAGGGCCGTAAGTCTAATGCTTCGCTAATCTCTCTGGAATGTCCTAACATGCTCGATAGTGTGTTCTCAGTCAGGAGGCAATATGGTGCTTACGGATTCGTTCACCAGTTCAATGTTTAGGCAGTCGTCCATTCGCGTGTTCGAAAAGGATGGTGACGACAACTTGCTCATGGGCTTCAACGCAACGCTGGAGGTATTAACTACCAAGGAGTTGAAGGTCACTGGCTTGATTGGCCATGCCATCTCACTGAACAAGAAGTCAACCTCGGTGGGCGAGACAGAGTGCGGAATCGGCAACACGTGTTCCTGGAAAATGTGTGGCATCGATCCCACGTCCAGTTACGGTGTATATTTCGAGATCGCTAGCCAAGGCGGCCCCCAAGCTCACCAAGCCCCCGCCAAGGGCATGATCCAATTCCTCACTTACTATCAGCATTCCTCGGGCCAGTTCCACTTGAGGGTAACGACGATTGCCCGAAACCTGAGTGGACCAGCAGGCGATCCGGCAATCGCCCAATCGTTCGACCAAGAAGCCGCCGCTGTTCTCATGTCTCGCATCGCTGTCTTCAAAGCGGAAGTCGACGACGGACCGGATGTTCTGCGCTGGGTCGACAGGATGCTCATCAGACTATGCTCCCGTTTCGCGGACTACCGCAAGGATGACCCCTCGTCTTTCCGCCTGGAGAAGAACTTCACTTTGTATCCTCAGTTCATGTTTCACTTGAGAAGAAGTCAGTTCCTCCAAGTCTTCAACAATTCGCCCGACGAAACTGCTTTCTACCGACATATTCTCAACCACGAGGACACAAGCAACTCGCTCATCATGATTCAGCCCACATTGGACAGGTCAGTACCGATGCACCCTACGCTGCGCTGCTATGGAGCAACACCTTGGCTGACACGAGTTATTAAGCTACACCTTTGACCAAGAGTCGTCGCCTGTTCTTTTGGACAGCTCTTCTATCCAGCCCACTCACATTCTCCTCCTCGACACCTTCTTCCACATTCTCATTTTCCACGGCGAGACGATCGCTGAGTGGAAGAAGGCGGGATACCAGGACCAGGAAGGTTACGAGAACTTCGCGGCCTTGCTCGAGCAGCCCAAGGAAGATGCCAGAGTAAGTAGCCTTTTCCTCTCGTCTTCCTTCCTGCTAACCTCTATACTAGGACCTCATTTCCGACAGATTTCCGTTGCCGCGTTTGTAAGTGCTCAGGCACTATAGACTCGAAAGCATTACTGACCATCTCTCAGCATTATTACAGAGGCCGGAGGTTCACAGGCACGGTCAGCATTTCCCTTCTTTCTTACCCGAGACCGGCGGCTAATATCCAGTAGATTCTTGCTGTCAAAGTTGAATCCCTCAACTACACACACCACCGGAGCGTATGGCGGCGTGGGCGCCCAGAATGCACAGACCATCTTCACCGACGATGTGTCTCTGCAGACTTTCATGGACCACTTGATGAAGTAAGTAGATGTTGGAGATGTGCCGTTTCTGCCGGCTGACAAACGTTTCGCAGGCTGGCCGTGAGTGGCACGAACTAAAGAGAGTGATGCGATGCTGGGATGGAGGTTAGGATGGTGCCAGGAGAAAAGCGATTGGCAAAGTTCAGCCTTTCTTAATCGTGATAGGATCAGGCCTATAACTACAAGGCCGACTGAGCCGCAATACTCTGGTCCCTAGCATTGCTTGCAGGTGCCTTTTTCAATAGACGGGTGACATTGGTCTCTAAACTGATGACCGACCCTCTAGACAGTTATTATACCATGCGTAAGGTATGAGGAGAATATGCACTCGAGTACGCCTTGTTTGATAGTAACATCTGCGGCACCGAGTCCGGAAGACGAGCAATGTACTACAAGAAGTTGCAATATCATCCATGACTGCCAAAACCACGCGTTGGCGGAATCAGTGGGGGATCCATTACCCCGCCCCCACCAAACGCCCGTCCTACCTACCTAGCCCGTCCCAGACACTTTTGCTGTCTCAATGAGATACAGTAACGTGCCTGGGCTGCAGGTCTCGTCCAGTTTCTTAGCTTGCCAGCCACAAGACGGAGAGACGGGCGGCCCAAATCCAATGAGGTGATTGGTGAGTGCCCACCTGGTTCCATTCAGTGTTGCATCCTTGCATCCTTCCACGTCGGTGGGCAACCGGGGGGGAGGCCAAAAAAAAAGTTGGAAAAAAAAAGCCCACCCGTCGGCAGTCAGACGGGTACTTTGGTGTGGAAATATCACGTGACAGAACTGGTTCATTGGACAGGGGTGCCTACCTCACCCGTTTTTCTCGCCAAAATCGTCCAAGCCACAGCAAGGTGTGGCTAATCCTAGGGCTGCGGAGCTACGCGCACACATCCATCTGCAAAATTCCTTGAACCTTCACAACGTCTCTTGTTCTTCCTTCGATCATCAACTTTCCCACCAAACTCCAGATCCGAGAGCAGTCAAGATGCGTACGTACCCTTGGTCTCCCCTTCCAGAGCATGACGTTTGAATACAAGATACTAACATTGCCATCATGTAGCTCCTAAGCTCGACCCCAACGAGATCAAGGTCATGTTCGTCGCACCCGCTCGATTCGAGAAGAACAAACAAAAAATCTTCGAGAGAAAGAATTGTCGCTAACGTAGTTTGCGAGTGCAGTCACCTCCGTGCCACCGGAGGTGAGGTCGGTGCCTCCTCCGCTCTTGCCCCCAAGATTGGTCCTCTCGGTCTGTCTCCCAAGAAGGTTGGTGAAGACATTGCGAAGGCCACCGGCGACTGGGTATGAACGATCCCCCCCCCCACGTACGAGAACCGCAAAGCGAGAACGGCACTTACAGCGACGATTTTACAGAAGGGTCTCCGCGTCACGGTTAAGCTCACCATCCAAAACCGTCAAGCCGCCGTCTCCGTCGTTCCCACCGCCTCTTCCCTCATCATTCGCGCCCTGAAGGAGCCCCCTCGTGACCGCAAGAAGGAGAAGAACATCAAGCACAACAAGTCCGTCTCCCTCGACGAGATCATCGAGATCGCGAGGACTATGCGCTACAAGTCCTTCTCCAAGTCTCTTGCTGGCACTGTCAAGGAGGTTCTCGGAACGGCGTACAGCGTTGGATGCCAGGTTGACGGCAAGCGCCCTCAGGATGTTATCGACGCCATTCAGTCTGGCGAGATCGACAGTAAGTTTGCCTTGTTCCCAAGTTGCAGCTGGCGACGGCGTTCAAGCACCTCGCTGACACATTCTGCAGTCCCTGAGGAGTAAACGAGGTCGACGTCTTGACGGTTACTCTCGCATGACTTCTGGAGTTTAGGAATGGTTCTGCATTAAGGGGACTACCCAAAGGGGACAACCTCTGGCAATCAAAGAAAATTTGCCAAATGATCAAATGACCAACCGATGCTTGTCGCAACACAACACGTCTGTTTCGAGGTACTGTGCTCCGAGTTGCCGACACTTGTCAACCGTCGTAAACCAGCGCCACTGCGCATCTTTCCACTCCAAACGCCCTTCAAAACGCACGCACCTTGACTACACTCTGAGATATTCCACGCTCTCCCATGGTTTATTTCAATTTTGGTTTCAAGGAAGATAAGATGTTCTTCGGAACAGATCCCAATACTCACCGCGGCATCCCATTACACCATGGAAGTCGAGGTCCACAAACGTGGCTCACATGCTTGATAACTGCTCCTGTCCGACATGGTTCGTGCGTTCGCTTGCGCTCATGCGTGACTGTGCCCAAAGCTGGATGTGCTACTGCAGAAGCTATCCTCGCGTGTCGCTCTTTTCAACGCCGCTTCTTCCGTCCATTGATAGCCCGAAGAATGTGCTTTCGAGCACTGTAATAACTTCCACTCGACAGATCCCGTTGTCGAGAGCAACCGCATGTGTGTGAGCCTGTGTGGTTATCGCATTGATCAATTGCCAGCCCTACGATAGCGTCGTCTGACCGGATGGGAGTCGGGGCTGCCCGTCAGCACGGCCGCATAAGACGGGCGAAGTGCTTGGTTTCGTCTGCGTTTGTACCTACCGTCAGATGCCTGAAATGACTGTCAGCCGTGGAAGCTGCGCGGCACAATATGTACGGACGATCCAGGACCAGGACGTGGTAAGGGAGGCGGCAAGACAAGGCAACGCAGGCAGCTGGATGGAGTGGTGTTTGGTGTTTGGCACTAATGCATGGGTCCAGGTTTGTCACTCCAACGGTCGGCGTTAAATGTGCTAAGTTTTCTGTGCCCCTTTCTTCCTCGTTCCCCTCCAACCAAGTTTCTGGATGGTGTGCTTTTCGACTGTCCACGCGGGGTTGGGATCTTCGGATGCCCCTCGGTCTCACTTATTTGGATGTACTAGTATACGGATTACGGATATTGTACGGAGACGGGTACAGAAAGGCCTAGAGGGTGATTAAATCTATGTCAATCCGTCGCTTCACTTTTAATTGGCCCAGGGTGCTGTTCGTCTGAGTGAAGAGAGAATCAACAGCATGCCGAGGGAACCTCAGACGGAGGACGAAGCATGTTACCTAGGAGAGGTAGTCCTGCCTTTCCTTGAGGCACTTTGGCGGGTGAGAAAAAGACTGAGAAGCAGTGATTACTCTCAAGCCCATATCTTCTTGCATTTACCGACTTGTGTAAAGGTACCAATAGCCCTTCATGCGCCGCACTCGCATCAAGCATCATATAACGGGCTCTGGGCTGGAATAGGCGTCAGCTGAAATCGGTAGTTCTGGTAATAATGAGGCGCGGTAGTGAATTCTGGCAGACTGAGCACCAAATCGAACACTCGCCTGCTTCGTGCTGTAATTTTATGTGCGTTGGTTCGTGATTCTTCCTCCCCAAGTCTAACGCCCTCCCCAACTAACTACTCCATCTGCGTAACGAGAATCGTCCTCTGCTGCGCGGCTTTCCCGTCTTCTCTGGAGCACTATCTCACCACATCTTGCTGCAGCCAAGCATTGCCAGGTGCGTGTAGCGATATCGACGACATTCTATTTTGCGCGTCAATTGGAGAGACAGGGTACCCGTACATTGTTGGACAGGGTTCCTTGGTTCTTTTGGGGCTGATGGTTGGGTGCTTGACCAGGTTCCTGAGCAAATCGAGTCCCATCGAAATCGAACAACAATTTCAGGCTCTGGCTCGGTCGGTCTGGGTTGGAGAAGCAGCCCTTCTACCTGACCTACGCCTACGCCGTACAGACTGCGCCGTGCGTACGCGGTGGCCGACAACTCCAAACCACCAGCGCAACGCCAACGACACCCGGCCACTTCAGCGACTCGACACTAGTGCATTCGCTACCTTACCTTACCTCACCTTACTCACACCCAACATCACTTCACTTTGCTTTTGCATTCATCCGTCCGCCTGTCATCTTGACATTTCCGCCACTATACGCCGCCGCCGACGCCGCTACCGCTACCGCTACTTCCACCGCTACCGACGCCGACGCCGTTGCTGCCCGTTCCTCGTTTCTGCGGATCCATCCGACGAAACCCACGTCCAGTGCATAACCAAACGTCTCAACCTGCCGTCTCGGACGCTATCGCGACGTCCTCCATCAAGAGCCTCACGTTCAACCGGCCTGTTTGTTCATCGACTCTCCTCTCGTCGCCGCACTCAAACCAGAAGCCGAGGCCTTTTCTTTGGCTCAGGCCAGAGTCGCTGGCGGCACTGGTGTCTGGCGTTGGCGTCGCCCTTTAGCCAAGGCAGCCCAGATGCCATGCCCGTCAGCGGGCCCGTCAGCCATGCTCTAACCAGCGGGCAATGACAACAGGTTTCCGGATCGCGCCTTCCAGTTCTTCTTCGCATCGCTCTTGCGTCGTACTATCTTACTCTCGTTTCGCCTAGCCTCAGTGTTATTTGTCGGAGCGCATCCTCCTCCTCCTACTCTATATCTCATGTTGCCTCTAGTCCAGATGCACCACATGGTGCAACAGTCGCCAAACTTCGACCCTCTCCCGATATTCCCCCTGCAGAACAATCACCAGCAGCAGCAGCAGCAGCAGCAGCAGCATACGCCTCTGCCGCCACAGTCGTCGACGATACTGCATCAGAATCAGCAGCAATTATCCTACCCTCACGCCTATACATTTGATCACCGTCTGGGCAGCCTACCCACCGAGTCCGGAAACTCTCCATTTCCAAGCGGCAAGATCCCGAGATCCTTTCCCATTCGCACCTCGCATTCGACCCAGCCGTTACAACGGCGCACCGCAACCGCCGGCGGACAGTCACATCTCGTTGATCGACCGGAACACCAGCTGCGGCGGAAGACCCCGAATGGCACAATCGATGCAGGCTACGATGGCTCTGCTGCCCACCTCGCCTCGGGGCCTCCGCCTTTGAAGCAAATGATTCTTCCAGCTGCGCCGACCGCGTATGCTGCAAATCGTCTTCACGCGGTGACCGACCCGAATCACAATTCGAAATTCGGCTTAGGCGCACAAGGCCGCGTCTCTATTCCTGTTGTACACGATCGAGCTGCCGAGACTCTGAATACCATTTCTCCGGCGTACCCGCCGTGGGCACATGGGCTGGAATTTTCACAGCAGTCTATGCTAGGCGCTGCTTCCTCGGGCCCTCAGAATCCAGCGCCTTTGCAGTACGGCTTCAACTCCACTGGCGTATCTTCGCACTTTGGATCCACACCGCAGTCACGCCCTCGGTCTGCGGCATACAATGCTACTTCTTTCTTTCCTGGACCTCTGCCGGTGGATGACGCCGCTGCGGCTTTTGTACCCGGGCTCCTCCAACCAGCAAATCCTTGGTATCCCGCACCTCAGCAACAACCGAGCTATGTCGGTCCGCCTTCCTTTCACACTCCGTCCCCATCGACGTACGACCATCGCTTGTCACAATTTCCAAATTCGCTCCTTCGTCCGTCGGCTCACTTCACCCCGGCCGATGCCTATTCATGCAATGCCTATGGCCAAGGCTTTCTCCAACCCATGCAGTTCAACCTGGAAGGCCTGACCTTGGACACCAGCCTTATCAGCGGCACTGAAAGGCCCACCACGATCGAAGCGTCCCCGGCCGGTTTCAGGGAAAAGGTGCTTGCTCAAGCTCACCGAAGTTACGTCGACTTGCTTGCGTACCTTCACCATGGTCGCAAAACTCAGCAATTACGGCCCGGATCTGCCTTGAGCACCACGTCAAGAATGGTGGTGTATCCCAAACCCCCCAAGCAGCCGGCTGTCACAACAGCCTCGATGTCTCATTATCAGGCGGACACGGGGACAGCCGTCAATTGTCACTTGAAGGCCAGCACTGGCAACCTATTCATGGGAGCTCCCGCAAGCAAAATGCAACTGCTTCCACAATCCGCCGGATGGGATAGCAACATTGGGGATTCGAGAGATACCGTTTTCCCGGTTGCCAATTCGACTAGCCCTGTGTTCCCAAGCCAATTTGGTCGGAGTTCTCCGCTTGCAAACGCAAAAAGCTCCTTGGAAATTCTCACCCATCTGTGCGAGCAAAGCGGTTGGAAATGGATCGATGGCGTGTTACTTGGAGGATGTCTCCATTATGGCCTGGAGCATTTTGAAGAAGCTCTAGAATGGTTCAATCGAATCATTTCACTCGATGCCAAGTGAGTATCTTCCCATTGTCAGAAACCCCGCGCGGGCAACTCCTTTAATCCAAGTACTGGTCACTGACATAACCTAGCCATGTGGAAGCGGTATCGAACCTGGCAGCTACACTCTACTGTCTCAATCGACAAGAAGAAGCAGAGACGTATTGGCTGAAAGCTATCAAGACCCGGCCGCAATACCTCGAAGCTGTTGAGCATCTGGTTGGCCTTCTCTATAAGAAGAAGAGCCTGGATGCTGTAGAGGTCATTAGCTTTGTCCAGAACGCCTTGAGACTGCCACATGGTCACTCGGAGCTCGTGGGCCCTGCTGCCGCGGCCTCTTTTTCTGCTGCATTAAATGACAATGTTGCACAACTCGGTTTTGGCTCAAGCGGGTACGCGATACCAGGTAGCGAGAATGGCCGCATTCTTGCTCTTGTTCATGCCAAAGGCACCATGCTTTACAGTCTCAAAGACATTGCAGGGGCATCTGAAGCCTTCGAGGAGGCAGTTCTCATCAGCACGGGACGTCAGACTTCATCCATCCAGACGCTGGTGCGCCAAATTCAGCATGTACTTTCTCCCAGCGTCGGGCTTGGAAATGCGCCTGGGGTAGTCACTGCTGCGCGTCCCTTACTACTCCCTCCTGAAAAGGCGAGACGCACGGCTAAATTGGTGTTCTCCGGGAATGGCGAACTCCCAGGGTTGCGGTTCGTGCCGGAAGGCGGACCTAAAAGAGCGGCTGTCCAGACTACGAGTAATTCGCTGCTCTCACTCGCGAAAATATTTCAAGATGCCATGTCATCCAGTGCTACCTCCGCTGGGCTTGTGCGGAAACCAACCGGCGTTGGCGATATCTTGGCGCTCTACTATCTGTCATTGTCTCTCCAGGAGAGCCCATCAACCGCCAACAACGTTGGAATTCTTCTTGCCAGCGTTCAACAGCCCGCTGCGGCCATGTCGCCCGGAACATTGGCATCGCAACCTAGGATTCCCGGCATACCTCCAGGCAGTGGGCTGGCGCTCGCTCTGGCATACTACAATTATGGTCTCCTCCTGGACCCGAAACACGTTCACCTACACACCAATCTTGGTAGTCTTTTGAAAGATATTGGACAGCTCGATCTGGCCATCCAGATGTATGAGCAAGCCGTTCAGTGCGATGGCAATTTTGACATTGCCTTAACAAACCTCGCCAATGCTGTCAAAGACCGTGGGCGTGTCAACGACGCCATCACATATTACAAGCGCGCCGTCAAGTCCAACCCCGAGTTTGCCGAAGCTGTATGCGGGCTCTCCACCGCTCTGAACTCAGTGTGTGATTGGAGGGGTCGCGGCGGGGCTCTGGTTCAGGGGGGTAAATATGACCGGTGGCACGTCGACGACGATGGCATGCTGGTGGATGCACGTACCCAAGGAAACGCAGCCGGCCTGACGAAGAAAGTCATCGACATCGTTGCCCGTCAGCTCGAAGACGCATCGTCTTGGGGTGTGGGTGTCTTGCACGAAAATGATATCGCACTCTTGGCCTCTAAACTGCAACTGGCTGATCCCAAGTCAACCTACACAGCAGCAGACCTGGCTTCGAAACTCACCAGTTGGGCCAAGAACCCTTGGGAAGGATCCCGGCTGCTACGACTAGTGGAACGGGCTACCCGGGCTTCGATGCGAAGATGGTATTACGACAAGCATATCCTAGGACTGAGGGCAGACGTCAAGTACGAACGTCCGCGGCTACCGTCCAACTTGACAGTGCCATCTGCTCCCACCGTTCTGCCCTTCCACACCTTTACGTGTCCATTGACGGCCAAAGACATTCGAATGATATCGCAACGCAACGCTTTCAGAATTTCGTGTTCTACACTCCGGTCGCCCTGGTTGCCCAACACCGTATATCCGCCACCACGCCCTCCTTCGCCGCATCTCAACGTCGGCTACGTTTCATCCGACTTCAATAATCATCCTCTGGCTCATTTGTAAGCTACTCGTTCTCAAAGCCCTGCGTATCTTCAAGTCCTGTTGCTCACATATCTTTGTAGGATGCAGTCCGTCTTCGGCTTCCACGACAGGACCCGCGTGAGAGCATTTTGCTACGCCACGACAGCTAGCGACAAGTCTGTCCATCGTCTGCAAATCGAGAGAGAAGCGCCAGTATTCCGGGATGCCAGCACCTGGTCGTCAGACAGGCTCGTTGAGCAAATAGTGCAAGACGAAATCCATATCCTTGTCAACTTGAACGGTTATACGAGAGGCGCCCGGAATGAAATATTTGCCGCAAGACCAGCCCCAATCCAAATGTCTTTCATGGGCTTTGCCGGCACTTTGGGCGCCGAATGGTGCGACTACATCCTCGCAGACACCACGGCCATCCCCCCTGACACTCTGCGGCCCTGGCGTGGCAACCTGACCATTGACGATGTCTTCGAGGACAAAACAGAAGAGGACACAGGTGACTGGATCTACTCGGAGAACATCATTTTCTGCAAGGACACCTTCTTCTGCTGCGACCATGCTCAGTCCAGCGATCCAGACGAGCACAAGGTCTCGTGGGAAGACGAGCAGCGACGGAGATGGAAAATGCGCAAGGAGTTGTTTCCAAAGCTACCCGATGACACCATCATTCTCGGCAACTTCAACCAGCTTTACAAGGTTCGCATCTGCAGATTCGTGGCTCGCAACAACAGATCGCTAACTCATGGCGTAGATTGACCCCACAACTTTCAGGACGTGGTTGCGTATTCTTTCGAACGTTCCTCGGGCTATTCTTTGGCTGCTGCGGTTTCCTGAACTAGGGGAGACCAACCTGCGGAGAACTGCGAAAGCGTGGGCAGGAGAGGAGGTCGCCAGCCGCATCATTTTCACGGATGTGGCACCCAAGAGTCAGCACATCTCTCGAGCACGTGTGTGTGATCTATTTCTCGACACGCCCGAGTGCAATGCCCACACCACAGCTGCGGACGTTCTGTGGTCTAGCACCCCGCTGTTGACGCTGCCCCGTTATCCGTACAAGATGTGTTCTCGAATGGCGGCCTCGATTCTGAAGGGCGCTTTACCCAAGAGCCCCAAGGGCTTGGAGGCAGCGAACGACCTGATTGCCGACAGCGAAGAAGAGTACGAGGAATTCGCGATCAGACTGGCGAATGGACTGTCGTACCAGATCAGCCGTGGAGGATACGGCGAGGGAAGTGGTCGGCTGGCAACACTACGCAGGCTGCTTTGGGACAGTAAATGGACTTGCGCCCTTTTCAACACAAGACGATGGGTGGCTGACCTCGAGCATGCATACGATGAAGCCTGGCGGAGATGGGTGGAGGGTGAAGATGGAGACATCTACCTCTAGGAGGTAGCAAATAAGTCGCGACGAATTAGTTGGAAGGCGGCCGGGATGCTCGTAAAACGAAGAGCTCGTGAGCGGCATTCGACGCTGGCCGAGGGATATGAGCAGAGCTTTTGGATGCTTTATCTCTCTTCTTTGACGACGCTTTGCTTTTGTGCCTTGCTTGTTGGCTAGGCTTAGACTTGGGGGGGCGACTATTGGGCTGCATGCGGTTGCGAGCGTGGCTCCCCCTCTCAAGCTTCGCTTGGAGGGATTTCTGTCACGCCTTGCTCAGGCGACGGCTGCGATGGAGTTGGGATATCATTATTGGCATAGACCCCTGTCCGGGGCACCAGAGCTCAGCGGGCACTTTTTCTTCATTGTTTTTGATCACTGTTTTCTGAATGCATCAGAGGGTAGTTCCCGCTGGTTCTGGGATTTTGGCTGGCGTTCGGAGGAAAGCATGTCGTAGGCGGGCTGCGGTGTACATAATAATACCCGGGACCTCTTTCCTCGCTGTTGTGAGATGTGAGGTCCTTGCGATCCATGTCTGTTTGATTTGCTTGCTTGCGTTCCCATGTTGGGGCCGTCCAGTCGAAGTTGCGGTTACCCTAGACTCCCGCATTCTTCACCTTCACCTTCAATTTCGAGGTCCAACCTAGCCTAGCCATCATCACCGTCAGTGCTTGACTCCATACGGTCGAGTCTAGGTGTGCCAGGATCATTGGAGGTGAGTGGCTTCTATGGCGTTTTCGGCCTCTTGCATGGTAACCGGCGCCTGTAGAATACGGCAGTGCGAGGACGCGACGGTAGTAGCCAAGACCCCCCTCCCCCCCTTTTTGTTTTTCCCTTCATGTCTGTGACAACCATCATAGGATGTTCGACCAAGATCATCACGAAGAGCGGGGCCGGCCGGCTCTCATCAACGCTGGCTCGCTCACTTGTCATTCAACGTCATGTCGCGCCGCGCCAGGTGAACTCGCGGCTCAACGTTGTCGTATGCCAGCCAACAGGGCTCCGTCTCTCCATCGCCTTGCTGGTTCTCTCTCTATTGCCCCTGGAGTCCGAACCAAAGTATTCGCAAGGCCCCTTGCCCCGCAAAAGACATGACGCCGATGTAAACAAGCGTACCCGCATGGCGTGACAATTATTGACAGTAACCGGTGGTGCTTTGTGCATGAATTATGAGCATATTCCGAGACGAAGTCGTGCCGCCATCGAAACACGTCAGTCCGTTGCAGATAAGAGGGCAATCCAACATGGTGGAACGACGGAAGACCCTTTCCCATTTGACTGGAATCAGCGTGGGAAGAGGGACAAGTCGCAGTCTTTCTAGAGAGACAAATGATATACATACCGTGCCCTTGACTGCCACTTCAGGTCCCTTGATGCCAAATAATGGATAGAAACATTCCATGTCATAAACGCGATGCACATGTATACATCAAAGGAATGTGACGTCTCTCTGTGGTCACCATGATGACCGCTTTCGGATCGGAAGATATCGCTGGAGACCCTGACGGTAACCGGGTTGAATGGTACACCACCCAACCGAGGCCTCTCAAGGCTCTCCTAGGCAGAAACAACCCGTTGAGTGTTGACGGGGAGTAGTAGCGTTCCTAGGATCAGGAACATGGGATTTGGAGATTCAGGGCGAGTCTTGGGGACGACAAGACTGATTCAAGAGCACACATGCGCCCGGAGACCTTGACCGGTTTGAGCCCGTTGATACCAGTTCTGCTGTGGATTGTATCTATTTGTTTCGTTGAGGCCTAGCATGGAGTCAGTGCCTATATCGCTTCACGTCACAAGAATCACGAGATTGAAATCGGGTAAACTGCTTGAGCTCCTCAAGAACAGTCCACATACAGGATTGTTTCCTGCCCAGTCCGAACCCTTGAACTGATGCAATGGCCTGACCAAGGAAAGATTGAGCATTCTCCCCGGTGAAGTAGACATTAGTGACATTGCACCTTCACGCTAGGGGAGGCGTGGAAGACCGCTCAAGTGCGTGAGTGGCTGTGTGCCCGGCCTAGCGAGCCAATGTTTCAACAAAAGGAGAGAACGAGATAATATGCAAAACAATACGACGGCTTCATTCCAGTCATACAGACAGGTAATGCGCTTGGTCTCATGCCTAGCAGCTCGTGGCTGTTTGGATGGGCGTGGAGTTTACGACTTGGTAGTCCACAGCGGCAAACAAGCTTGGTGCTGGTGCGCCTCGCTTTCCACTTCCACGCACGTTGTGAGAGCGTGTCGTGGAAGAAAAGAAAAATCGCAATTCGTGAGGTCCAGAATGAACGGCTCGATCCAGTGGGTTGGACAACGGGCGAATCGCCTTGAAAGTGTGGCTGGCTGGCTAGCGGAGGCACTTTGAGTAAGCGTTGCGGACCGTTGGTAAAGAACCGTTGCGCTGAAGCCGCGCGTATTGGTACAACCGAGCACATGGACAAAGCGCGGGCGAGACGTTTGACTCGAGAGACTTGACCGTCTTTAAGGAGACATAGGAGCCGGCGATTCTTGTTATTCAAGTATGAGCAGTTGTTTGGTCGCCAAAAATCGGTGGATGGACTTCCTGCCGAAGTTGAACAAACAGGGAAACTGACCAGGTGAGAAGGATCGCAGGAATCCCAGAGGTCTTGACTTGGACCAGACGCCTCGCCTCGTGTCCATAGGGGACCAGGTAATGGCCGAATGGACGAAAACCAGAGACAACAAGAGGAATCGGAGCGGCTGCTAGCGGCGCCTGACTGCCAAGGAAGCGCTCCCACACCACGTCGAAGACGACATGCTGGCATGACAAACGACAAACCATCTACAGTTACGGGAGACGATGAAGAGGCGCCAGTTAGTCAGACACGCATGCGCCGCCCAGTGTGGTCGGCCGTTGGTACCCGCTTCCACAACCAGCTGGACGGATACACTGAGCAGTTCTTGGCTTCTAGATGGGCTCCAACATGTCCCCAGCTATTCTTGTTTCAACGGAAAGAAGCGCGGGTACGTTATTTCTTGTTTCTCGTCACGGTCTCATGGCCGATATGCCCTGGTTCTACCCCAGTCGGGTTGAGGCACCCAACCCGACGGATCGAGGGAAACATGAAGGAGCATCAACTATCGATGATCCTGCCCATCTCGGAGACACGTACATGATGGAGTGACAAGGGGCAAACTGGGCACGGGATGTCCTGCTGCCGAGGGTGCCCAGGAGGGCAGGACGACACTGCAGAGACAGTCGGTTGGGGAGATTCGCCTGGCTGGGAGGTATCGGGCTGGGATACGGGGTACAGAGGCTAGGGAATTCAACAAGCAGCAGCAGCAAGGACAGGGGACGAGGAGAATAAAAAAAAGAAAGATGACAATAGTGGGTATCTCACATGTGAAGTACATTCGTGCGGCCAAACGAAGGACGAAGCCCTGCATGTTCTTGGGCTGGGTCAGTCAGCCGGAAGGCAGTATTCGTAGCATACTGAGTTGTCGTAGGGGTTGGGGTTGGTATCTTTACCCATGACCGATGTGCCTTGCTTCCGAGCCTTGGGACAAGCCAGGATTGAGATGAGAGACGCCAGGTTCAGTTCAATGTTTCGGCGAACCGATGGGTCGGGTCAGCTCCTACCTAGGACTAAGGCACTTCGTACTCAGGAGCCTCTCCGTCGGAACCAGCAGGGGCAATGCATGGGATGCCCTGGGCGAAGATCATGATCATTGGCGGGCCGGAATGTGCTACGGAGAGTGTGAGTGCCAGCTGAAAAAGTCTTGGGAAAAAGAGCCCCACCAGACGCGGGAGGGAGATTGGGGGAGGAAAGCGGGAAGGGGAAATGAAAAATAAATCGTGAATTGGCATTCGCTTGCCATGTCCATTCACGGCCTAGATCAATGAGCAGGGAGAGGGGGGAGCGGGCAGCTTGCTCCATCCCTGGGGCAAAGACGTGTGTAATCAATCCATGAACCAAGCAAGGCCTGTTGCCACCCCATCCTCCGAAAATCGTCTCAAGCAAAGTCTTCAGAGCCAGGCGTTCATCCAGGGCGATCTGTCCGAGGAATATGATGCCCAAACTCGAGCTTCAGAGGCTGTGATCCAAGCCCACGATTGATGGGGTTGAACCGGTCAGCTTTGCTCTTTCACGGCCTGCTGTCGCCGACGACTTTGGTGTGTGCCGCAGTGCCGGAACCGTGTTCGTCAGGCGCTCGCCTAACCAAGCCAGTGCCAGTGCCAATCCTGAAAGCCGGTAAGGGAAGTCGGACAGAAGCCTACGTATCCATCTACGTCAAGCTCGTGTGCAACGCGCCCACCATTACATAGTACTTGATCCCAACGTCCCGCCTTGGTTGGCGCGATGCCAACGGTTTTGGACTCAACTCGATGCAGCTTGCTGTCTAGTCCCGTGGCTGCCACTATCTGAAGGATTTAGTCGCCGGTGTACCAAACCCTCGGGCGCAGCTAATGTGCACGGAGACGTGCCGCACGAGAACCAACTCCTAAAAGCAAAATTGGTTCTGGCTCCGGCCGCCGAGGGGTGCGACGGCGGCGATGGCGGCGGACATATGTCTCGTTTGGGATGATGGCGTCCAGTAGGTGTGTCCCGGTAGACAGCGAGTACATCATTTCGTCGTGTCTCTGTACGACGACCCAGTCGGCAGTTAGACCAGACTACGCAGACCTGCCCGGTTGATCGTTCTTCTCCTGTTGTCATGCTTGCCGTGAGATTGTCCGATTGGGGCTCAGGTTCCGACTCCATGTCCTTGGTCAACCGGGGGCTGCTGAAGAACCACGCCGCAGGACAGAACAGATTGGTGGCGACGAATGGGTCAAGCGTCTCGTCATTGACAGCGGTTCGTAGTGGGCTCCGAAGCCATCGAGGAAGACCAAGGTGCCAGAGAAGGGGCACGGCGCAAAATATCACCACTGCTGCTAGCATAGGTAGGTAGTGATAAATCCCGACCGACAGGGTCGGTGGTCTGTCAGCCGTTGAAAGCAGACGCAAAGACAGTTCCTGAGGTGGCCGCGGAAACTAAAGGCTAGGTCC